AACTGATTGGCGGAACGGGTGCTAAAGTGGCCAAAACTGGAACCGCTATTAAGTACGCGGGTTTGGGAGGCATAGGAATGGGCGCCTCAGCCGTCGCCTGGGGTTTCGATAAGTCGGCCATTGGTTCCCATTTCTCCACTCGAGTCGAGACATCGACCGATGATTTACACAATGAAAGCGATTAGAAATGTCTCCCATTTTATATAATTATTTCTTAAACCCATATCTAAAAGTTTATTACTGTTATATTCATTGCATATTATGTGACAATTGATTTCATTATTATTTATAAATTGTAAACATTTTTCACAATTAGTTTATCAATAAAATGCATTTTTCATTAAAGATTTGTTTTAAAACATTTAATTCATATTTATTGAAAAATTACAATACAATCTGTTTACTAAATGTTAATACTTTTTTTTAAATGTAGTATACAATGTCTTTAAATTGTACATTTCAATACCAACTTTTATATCATTCACATAATTATATGCATTAAATACTTATTGAACAAAACAATTGGTAAATATATAACTTTTTTCATTGTTTTATTATTTGTGACATAATTACAGTACAAGAATACTGTATAAGTACAGTACATATGTAACACTTGTTATGTATTTTATGGTTAAATCATTTAATATATCATTAAATATTTATGACACCATTGTCTGATTGAAATATTAATTGGTTATATCATAATGGTAACTTTTATTGATTATAATACAGCATTTATTTTATTAATTATTTACATTTTCATACACCAAATGTCAATTATTAACACTTCTTATAACTTATAAACAACAAACAATACCACTTAAACATGTTTTGACATTATTTCACAATTTATACGAAATATAAGATTTATATATTAATATAAGGTGTACTTTAATTGATTTTGGTTGTTGTTATTGACATTAACACTCATAGCAAATACTTTCTTAATTAATTGCAATAGCATTTGTTTAGCTAGCTGAAATGCTGGACCTAAATGGCAAACAACTAACCGTTTTAACAAACTATGTGAGATTTATTTTCTACTCAAACATAATTAACAATAACTATAATTATGACAACCATTATCTTAAAGTTACCTCCATTTGTCTTCCCATCCAATGGTGTAATCGACGGCACAGAAACACCGCTTTTGCATACATTAAGTCATTACATGAATTTCACGTACGATCTCATCGATTGTCGCTTTGATTTTGGCATTAAGTACCCGAATAACACATGGAGTGGACTCATTGGTAAACTCGTATCCCAAGTACTAAATTGAACTATCATGATAATTTACCACACACAATAATTACCACACTCATTTAATACCGTAATGTAGGAGGCTGACTTTGGCATATTTAACATGTTTATGCTGGACGAGAGGGCAGAGGCGGTGCCATTTAGTTACCCATACTTTATCGATTCGGTCACATTTACATACCCGGCGCCCACCATACGGCCCAATCACGTAACTTTATGGGAACCCTTTGACCGATTCACCTGG